CCCCAAAACCCCAAAACCCCAAAACCCCTAGAGTCCATCATACTTAAAATCATAGGCATAATATCTTTAAAATTAAGTGATATCCATATTAATGATAACTATCTTAGATATTCAATCCTTAAAGGCACTAAGGGTGTTTTTAGAGGAAGCCAACAAGAAGTCCTTGATTTTAGGCACTTTCTGAATGATTTCCAGAGGGATAATAGCCAGCATACTTTTAGTAACCCAGAGTGAATGTCTAGTTGACTCAATAAACTTGTTCCAAAGTATAAAGTAGAGGAGGAAGAGTATGACAATGTAAACAGCAAATAAGATAGTATCCTCCTTATCCTTATTGTCAAAGCTCTGTAGAATGGAAAGATCAAGTTAAGTGAGCAACATTGAATAGGAGTCGGCGAAGTATATGTCCTTCAAGTTCTCGTTTTAGATAAGTCTATCCGAGTTTAGAATGCTGTCAATGGATTTCTGGTCTCTGACTGAATTATTAAAGTCAGTAGCCATTGATCTCATGTTATCCCAATAGGCAACATTAGCTGAGTAAAGACCCTTCTTCAAGATACCACCCATGAAGTTGCCACATTCAGTTGATGTAGAAGAATCTTGAATGTAGACTGCTTGGCAGACGTTTTGATATATAAGTAAGTCGAAGAAACTATTGAATTGGTCTGAGTGGTATGGTGCATTGTTTGAGTGAGTTTTCAAGAATTGCTCTTGTTCTTGGATTGTTTAGTTAAGGAAGGTAAATATGTAAGTGAGAGAATTGATATTCTTAACTTGAGCAACACCATTAGTAGTCAATACTTCCTGCATAATTTAGTACAGGAAATTATTGCTGAACTGCCTCATAGTGATAGTGCCACTCTCCTAAATTAAGTTATTAATAACACTTAGGAAAGTAATTGATCTCAAGTAACAAAGCAAGAAATAGCCCTCAAGGACTGTTAGCACGATTAGGAACTTTATTAGAAGTGATATGAAATTAGTTGAAAACTTCTTGTGCATTTTGTTCTTTCTTGAACGCTGACGCTGATTCTTCTTGGCCTTATTAGGATTTGATGGATCGTTATCTTCACCATCCTTGCCCTCCTCATCCTTGAAGTCTTCATCGTCCATATCTCCCATATTCTGCTAGGTAACATGCTCTTTGTCATGCATTGTATTGAAGAATATTCTACATTTCTCTAGTTACCTCTTTACATCGTCTCTGTCTATTAACATGAAGTGTCTAAGCAGTTCATCTTTATTTTTATCAACCTTCGTAGCTACTGGGAATATTAGACATATTGATATAAAAAGTGAACCACTTGCAACATAGAGTAAAATTTGTAAAGTTTTGTCAACAGTATTGGAGATATTCTCAGTCTCATCCAAAATAGCTTAGGTTGAATCTGATATAGCAGATAGAATATTGTTCAATGAATTGGTAATGATAAAGAATACCGAGGTATCATTCATAGTTATTTGCTTTAAAGGCATATCTTTTATAGTCAGAGCATGCACTGCAACACTCATTATTGCAGACCAAATATCCACATAATAGAACATAGGCATAGCACAAGGTGTGTTGTAAATAAGTTAAATGTCGTTAGGGTTGATCTTGTCATTGTTACTTGACTTGAAGACATCTCTAAGATAGGTATTCGATAAGTTATTCTGAGCTTGCTGAATCAAAGTACTTGAAGTTATCAAATCTCTTCTTTTAAAATCTTCATAATCACGATTACCTCTGTTCTTATTTACTCTTCCTTGGTTTATAAATGAAAGTATGCGCACATCTGCCCCAATGTCAGTCAAACTATTCATTCGATTCTTAGACGAATGAATGTTTTCTATGTTATCTTTTAGCTGCTTGTATATATTCTTTGACTGTATATACCAGACTATAGTTATAATAAGTAATGCCAGGAATACAATCTTGACATAAAATTTCAGATTTCTGATAGAAGGAGGTGAGTAATTCTCGTATAGAGCATTTCTAAGCATTCTAAGGTGTTTCATGAGACTCTTTGTTGATGAGGCAACAGACCCAGTATCTTCTTCCAGGAATTTCTCATCCTCGCCTTCATCTGTGCCTTCTGCAGTAGCCTCACCATTAGTTTCAGCTCCTTCCTCTCCCTCTTTGCCCTCTTCCTTTTTAGAGATAGTTTTCTTTTTAAGGTCAATTTTTTTCCTGATATCCTTAAGTAAGTCTAGCTTATCATCGTCCTCTTTCATGTTCTTGGCAGCAAAGTCCCCTTCATCGTACAAATCATTGTTTTAATTGATCATCACTCTATTTTGACCTCTCACATTAGTTTGATAATCTTGCAAGAGTCCTTTTTCTTGAATCATTGAGTCATCTTACAAAACAGCAGAAATGTCGTGATGGTTTATTGCAGAAGGTGACATATCATTATTCAGTCCTTTTCTTATAGTAGAGTCAGAGGCATTACGATGGGAGTTTGCATTCTCTCTTAAAGGGTATTAATTCTTGATTCTCTCATAATCTATGTTTGCACTCTCATTCAACAAGAAATCTTTCTCCTCTACATCATTATTTTAGCGCTACTATCCAAAGAAAGATTGTTTACCTTTTTTATTTTGAGCACCAAAGCCTACATTAGAGCCGCTTTCACTGTCACTCGCCTTATCTTCGATAGCCTACTCCTCCTCTCTCTACTTTTACTCCTCTCGTTGCCTCAATTACCTCAATTTCTCATCCAATTATCTAATTTCCCTGGCAAACCTCTGAATTTCAGCCTCTTCATAAGCTCCAGGAGTTGAAATATTAGATGGTTTCTGCTTAGCAGATGGATGTCTCAGACCTTTTTTGACTGACTCAAGTGCAGATCTCATCTACTGAATTCTCTTTTCAAGATCTTCTGATGATAGCTCTTCCATCTTTCGGTTAGCTTCATCAATCATAACTCTCACATTTTTGTTTGCATATGCATTAACTACTCCTCTGGCGGAGTCAGAATCTCCAGTGGTTCCAGCTCTTTTAGGGTTTAAAATCTTATAAACTTTTAGCTAAAGATAGCCGTTGCCATGAGATCTATTAATAATCTCAGTCTTTATAGGCCCTCGATAGACTTCTGGATTATCATAATTAATGTTATTCTTGAGTGTGGCTAGATACTTATGAGGTGCAGTTTTGAAATCATTGTTTCTAAACATGTTGCAAACTTTTTTCAAGTGATCAGGAGACTTTAAACCAACAAAGCTTGGCTCACCTCTTCTATTGCCTCCAATATTTTCATCATCATCATTGTTATTCATTTAATTTCCTATATTAGACATAGCAGAAACACCTGCTGCACCTCTGGAGCCGCTCTTTTAACTTAAGTTACTGAAATTCCTTGGTACTATAAAGGTCAAGTCCTTCACTCCTTGCCATAACTCGAATTTAGTAGCATGATCTTTGCTGCCCTTAATCTTTTCAGTCTCACAGAGTTAAGGACAAAGAACTTGGATAAAAATTTCATTTTCCTTGAAGAATGTTGCTTAAAGTTAAAGCATTGATGTTATGCCTTTCGAGATTGAGTCAATTCTACCATATTGATCTGTCAAAATAAAGTCATAGTCCTTGTTGGTTGGTTTAATTAATCCAATGTATTGAATATCATTCTTTAGCGATGGGACTGGTTTGACAATTAGAGTAATTGAGAATATATGCCCAACTCTTAACATAGCAAATGTTGAAAGATCAGCATTAATGACTCTCTCCTTTCCTGTCTTAAAGAATTGCTCAAGGAAGTAGTTATGTTTTACTCCAATAATTGGTGGCATGAGAATATTAACCTCGTGTCCATGCACTTCAAATGTATTGTAACCAAACAACTTAGTAATTCCGTTGTTTGTCTTCATGATCTTAGCTTGAGAGTCTTTGTTACCACTGATTACAACAATCGCTGTATCCTCCGCAAACATCAACTCAAAGTCATTAACATGCTCATCAAGAGACCTAGGTCTTCCCATAGCTGAAGCTTGCCCAAGAAAATCTTCACCTTCTTATGTATCATTCTTAATCTAAACCAGATAGTTTCCGTAAATTTATAGCGCTTTAGGATAATTTGGATTAATCCTTGTAAGTTAATGCCAGATATCATTGATTCTCTTTGTGTTGTTAATAATATTAAGTCCTAGTTTGTGAAGGACATTTAAGTCGACCATTTGTGAGTCAAGATGAGACCAGAACTCTATATGGTCATTTGCTGATTTTTCTATCTCTTTGTTAAGTTTCGCATACAGACTTTCGAAAGTGATGACTATAGTTACATCTAGTTCAGCAAATGTTTGCTTGCCAGCCATGTCTTTGTTTTTACCGAATTTGTTGACCAAATAATTCTCGATAAAGCGCTTGGCTCTATATACAGTGAATTTCTACTAATAGTTTGTATCGCACTTCTCGGCCACATTAAGTTCTAATAATGCAGTGTGGATATTTCCAATCTAATAGAATAAGAAATAAGCATAAGTTGTATGAAGCACCGCAGTGCTGTTTGAACTCTTAGCATATTCAGCATAAATAGAATTAATCAAGTGATAAAGTAAGATAGGGTCCTTCGAAAAAATAGCTCTTCTGTCACTCTAACTATCAGTTAAAGGAAGATAGAGCTCCTCAGCATTATTCAGAGGACATTCATTATTTAGACACTCACTTTGATGGTTGTGTACCAGCCCCAATAGAATCATTTCATCCACTTCATTGACATGCTAATCAATAATTAGTCGATAAAGTTTGTGAATAAAAATGTCCAGCTCATACTCGCTCTTGATCTTGTCATGCTTCTTGTTAAAGATCTTTTTCTGAATTTTGCTATCTCTTATCTGTCTAGTGGCTGGATAGATAAGAACTAATCCAACTATAATGACAATAGTTTAACCCTAATAGTCAACTGTCTCAAGTGCTTTAGTTAAAAGGATATTCAAAGAAATCCATAGATAGGCAAACCAGCAAGAGCCGAACAGAACTGATGTTCTTTAGTTGTAGTAAGGTAGATATTTCAAATACATTTTACAGAAATTGATAGAACCCCCAATATGAATTGTAATAATAAGCCAATGCAGTCTTTCTTAGTACAAAAAGTGCCCCACAATAGCAATAAGTATTTTATACAGAGTCATGTAAGTTTCGAAGTTAGTGTCAAGTCTTGCAAAGGCATCTGTGTGATATGGCCTTGACTCGTTGTAGAAGAATGAAATTAACATAAACACCACAACGTAGCCCATAAGTGAAAGTGAGAATAGAATGCAATAGAATATATGAATACCACTCCAGCACTCAAGGCTATCGTCAACTACATGGAAGCCGTTCTCGCATGAGAAAATAGAGATAAAGATCTCAATGATCGGCATCATGAGCACCCAGAAGATGAAACTGGAGCAGTAGCGCATGATCTTTATAGGGAAAATGAAGTAGAACTTCTCGATTTTAATGCTGTAGTCAATGTAAAACAATTACGCTATGTAGATTATCAAGATGAAGATCAGAGTGTAAGCCACAATCCAGAAATAGACAGGCATTGCCCCCTCAAGCATTGGATAGATTCTAATCAAATCGCACAGCTAACATATGGTTGAATATAGATCATCTTTGAAGGGGAAGTTAATCTTTGTGTTATATAACAGCCCGTATATTTGAATGAAGCTGATAACTAGCACAACTGCGGCAAAGATAAAGTCTATGTTTCTCTCGCGCATCAACTCAAAGTAGATTTGGAAGAGGCGACGCTTGACCGACTGCTTGAAGGTCTCACGCTTATTTTCACCCTTCTTATTCTCATCTTCCTGAGAATCTATTGCTTGGTTCATTTTTTGTTTTATTTATTTAAGTTCTAATGTTTGTTTTTGTTATAAATAATTGATTTAAATAGTAGGACTTCATATTTATGAAATTAATAATTAGACTTAAAATATGCATACTCTAAAATAATAGAATAAAGTTTTAAGACTCATATTTACAAACTAATTCAATCAAGCAATCATCGTGGAGATCATTCTAAATTCTCAAATTACTCTCTTCTTTATTTCCTCTAATATAGTCATTTTCTTTCTGATAAGTGCAAGATTATAGTCGATTTTATGTGGATCAAGTGGTTAGTCTCTAAGTCTTCTAAACACATCAAACTCATCTCTCATCATTTGATACATGTCTTGGCGAACATCTGGATCTTGAATTGTTTAGGCATCCTTCAATGCCTCTCTGTAAACTTATTAGACCTTTGATTTCATAATGAAAAACTTAAAGTCTTTTTTGGAGTCTAAAGGGACTAATTTCCTTCTTGGCTTAGACTAAATCTCTGAAAAAGCTCTAGAGTAGAAGGTTTTAATGACTGTTGAAGTGTTTTGTTTATTCAGAATTGATGTTGCTTTCATTGAATTATATAATATATTTATAATTGTAATAATTTATTAATTTTATCTCAATATACCTTGATAGTCTTGACGGGGTTTTGGGGTT